TAATACATTTTTATACTGCTCAAATTTTTCACATTAAAAACATACCAGATTCATACATAAAAATCACAATCTAATACATTAATCTGAAGCTTTGAAATTACTAATTTAGTGAAAATTTTTTTAAAACTCAGCCATCACAGGAACAATACAGATTTTCATACAGTAGCCAAATAACTGTTAACTGATTTTATTTAGTTAACTTTCAGACATGATTATTCAATGTAATTTTTGGCAAATTATAACATTAAAGACTTAAAATGAATAAATATGATATATCTGAGAAAGTTGTAAGATGACAAGGTCACCATTAATACCTAGCAGAGAACACAACTGTACCTAACTCAGTTTCTAAGGATGCCTTTGAATTTAGAATGAATTACATAAATATTTTAAAGTTTATGTGAAAACTGAAAGGTTGGATTAATTCCTGAAAAAAAAGCCAGATATGTATAATAAACATCATTTACGGTTTATGTGCTTTCCTAACCAGAAAACCTACAAGGCAAAAGGTGATCTACTTGGATTATACACAGATGCTGTTAATAGAAGAAGCCAGGTAGCATCTAAGAAATGAATAAGATGAGCCAAAGAGGAAATAAAGCCGGGGGGCGGGCAGAACTACATACAAACTAGAAAGACAAAGCAATCTGACTATTATCGCTATCCTAAGGAATAGAGCATCTATAATCATGAGTCAAGGTGAGAAATGGATATAAATAAGCATCCACCACTTTACTGGAAAACATAATCCAAGGTAGGAATCCTCTGGAAAGTAATAAAACCTTTGCGGTCAAGCTCTCTCCGGGGAACAATGCATACCTACATCCTAAACCTAGAGAGCCCAAAGAAGTAGCCAGAGCCCAGTTTTTTTTTTTTTTTCTTTTTGAAATGAAGTCTCACTCTGGCACCCAGGCTGGAGTGCAGTGGTGCAATCTTGGCTCACTGAAACCTTTGCCTCCCGGGTTCTTGCAATTCTCCTGCCTCAGCCTCCCAAGTAGCTGAGACTACAGGTGCATGCTACGACGCCCAGCTAATCTTTTGTATTTTAGTAGACATGAGATTTCACTGTATTGCCCAGGCTGGTCTGAAACTCCTTAGCTCAGGCAATCCGCCCGCCTCGGCCTCCCAAAGCACTGGGATTACAGGTGTAAGCCACCACGCCCGGCCCAGAGCCCAATTTTTACCTTTAGTTCATTCTACAATTATTTTTCTGCTAAAATATGAGTTATTTAGTTTATTTCACAAACATTTAATGAGTATGTATTTTCCCATACATTGTGTTGATGAAAGAGGTTACCAAAGTGTGTAAGACACAGTCCCTGTAATTGAGGACTTAGCCAGGGAGAGAAGACAAACACATAAATAGATAACTGTAATATAATGTGGTCAGTCCAGTGATAGGTTTATACATAGTATGCTCTGAAAACATGGCGAGAGTTCACTCACTTAGCATAGCCTAGAAACAAATGAAGGAAGGAAGACAAAGTTATGCCGGATAAATGGATACCTGAGCTCTCTCCTAAAGGATTAGAATTAGGTCAGGTGAAAAACAGGGGAAGGAACACTAAAGACAAAGGGCTGGGATGATGGCTCACGACTGCAATCCCAGCACTTCGGAGGCTAAGGCAGGAAGTTCATATGAGCCCAAGAGTTTGAGACCTGTCTTGGCAAAATGAGAGACCCTATCTCAACTAACAGTAATAATAATAATAATAATAAAAGCCAGGGCTGGTGGAGCTTGCCTGTAGTCCCAACTACTCAGGAGGCTGAGGTGGGAGAATCATTTGATTCTGGGAGGTCAAGGCTGCAGAGAGCCATGACTGCATCACTGCGCTCCAGCCTGGGCAACAGACTGAGGCTCTGGGAAAAAAAAAAGAGAGAGAGAGAGAGAGAACAAAATAGTAAGAGACACAGGGTATACTACATGCAGATTATTATTAGAATATAAGGACAGAGATGATGAGGGGTGGGAGAGGAGGTTGACAATACAGGGGCCAGATCATAGAGAACTAGAATGACATGCGAAAATTCTTACACTTTATGCTGCATATCATGTAACCAGTGTTAAGGACAATGACACAGAATAACATTTTATTTATGTCACCCTGGCAGCACTTATGTGGGAAGAATCTGACAGGAGGCAAGACTGGAAGTCAGGAGACCAGTTAGGGAGGCTATTGCTAAATTGTTCAGGGAAGAAATAAGGAGGTCTTGAACTAACAAGTAACTTTATAACAAGTAATCTTTTAACGAAAACCTCCTGCGCTAATGTATCAATAATATAGAATGATCACGGTGTAGCAGAACAAAAACCAAATGATTAATATAAATATATATGTACATATACAATATATAAATGCATATAAATAATAATTATATATCACATAGACTTATATACGTTATAAATGCCACTGTTATACTGCATTATGATTATCTTTTCCTACATTAATAAAAAAGAAGAAAGGTTAGAAAATAGGAAAATAGAAGTAAAAATTAAAAGCCTTCTATTTGTCTTAGAACTAGCAATTAGGCCGGGCGCAGTGGCTCATGCCTGTAATCCCAGCACTTTGGGAGGCCCAGGAGGGAGGATCACAAGGTCAAGAGATCGAGACCATCCTGGCCAACAGGGTGAAACCCCGTCTCTACTAAAAATACAAAAATTAGCTGGGCGGGGTGGCGCACGCCTGTAGTCCCAGCTACTCGGGAGGCTGAGGCAGGAGAACTGCTTGATCCCAGGAGGCGGAGGCTTCAATGAGCCGAGATTGTGCCATTGCACTCCAGCCTAGTGCCTGGTGACAGAGCAGGACTCTGTCTCAAAAAAAAAAAAGAACTAGCAACTAATGAACTGTTACCCCAAAATGTATTATTTCAGTGGAAAAAAATTTAATGTTAGAAATTTAGATTTAGGAAAAGGAAAATTCTTTAGAGCGTATCCTATAAGCATCTAAAATCAAGAATGATATCAGATTTCTCAGAGTTGTTTTGAATATATTAATACAGAAAATCCAGAAAGCAGATCTACATAAATTAAAAGCAATGAAATGATTTAATAAAGTAAATAATATAATTTAAATATACAAAATTTTGTTTAGGTAGGAGAAATAGATCTCTTAGTTAAGAGATCTACTGTACGACATGGTGACTATGGTTAACAATAACCTGGTTTATTCTTGAAGATTGTTAGGAGAGTGAATTTTGAACACTCTCACCACCGAAAATAAGTGAAGTAATACATATGGTAATTAGACAAATTTAGGCATTCCACAATGTACACATATTTCAGGACATTATATACAATAAACATATACAATTTTTGTCAATAAAAATAAGTGTTATAAAAAAGAAAATGACATGACTCTGTCTCGTCTTAACAATTTATTGCTAGCCTACCTCACATGGTATGTCATTTAGTAATCATAAATCTTAGTAAGACAGAATAATTATATTCATTTTCCAGATGAGAAAACTGAAGCTTGGGCAAGTTTATTTATCTAATAATGGGGCTTAAAGTCTGTCTGCCTTTAGATTCTTTATTTAAAGCTATTAGTAGCCATGTATAAATTAAACTGTATTTCATAAGAATATCTTAGTTTTACAAATATAGCACTTCATATCAGAAATTCAAGTTGTGGCTTAGGCAATAGAACTAAAGCTTTGGAGTTAGAGAAACCATGGTTTAAATGTAGAATTAACTATTTACTAGCTGGAGGAATTTGACTAAATTATATAACTTCTCTGAGCCTCATTATGTATAAAATAGGTTTACAAGGCTTTAAAAAGTTCTTGCAAGACTAAAAAGTGCCTAGCCAGATAAGTAATCCATCAGTAGCGGCTAATGCTATTATTCATAAATCAAGAAAAACTATAAGACTGATATACCACCTTAAAAATTGAAGTTAATTAATTTAGGAATAGACAGCTAGATGTGCTGGCTCACACCTGTAATTCCAGCACCTTGGGAGGCTGAGGTGTGAGGACTGCTTGAGCTCAGAAGTTTGCGACCAGCCTGAGCAACATAGTGAGACTTCATCTCTATTAAAAATTTATAGTTTAGCTGGACGTAGTGGCAGACATATGTAGTCCCAGCTACTTGCGAAGCTGACACAGGAGGATCACTTGAACACAAGAGTCTGAAATTGCAGTGAGCTGTGATTGAGCCACTACACTGCTAGAATGTTTCCTTAGCCATAACAAGAATACATGTACATGTGCACACTGTTTATACCATACCTAACTCATAAGAATATATAGTCAATTCTCGATAATCCAGGAGCATATTAATTGGTTTGCAGTTAAACTATGATTAAAGTGCTATGGGAAATCTACTTTTCTCCCTCTTATTAGGGAGAAGATTGTTAGGCAACTGATGCTCACCCTCCTCCTTTACAATGTAGCCCCACGCCCAAACCCCCATCACAGTATTTCTGCACAGTCAAACCCCAAGCTCCTTCAGGTGTTCTGGTCCCTTCATTGGTTCTTCAAATTCCACTCCTGGGGAAAGTTGTGGAGGATCAGGTTAATCAGTGCTTGCTACCTCATTATGAGGCCTGGATGGGGAATTAATTCTGTCTGGATTATTTGTAATATTTATGATTTGATTTTCATCCCCTCTAACGCTACTAGTTACTGCCATTAATAGTTGACTATATTATTTATAGTGAACGATTGACTATTACTAGGAAGGAAGTACACTTTAGGAGGAAGAATAACTTAGAAATCTATTAAAACTTTTAACATTTTACTTCTGTTTTTGTAAAAAAAACTGCTTCGCAAAGCTAAATAAATTATTATACAATCATTTTAACTCATAAGTGGTCAGTTTAAATCATTGCTGTAATATTATTCATGTAGTATACATTTTAGTAGCTAAAGTTAGTAATATCAGAGACAATTAAATAAGAAATCCCAGGTGGTTAAACAGTCTCTGAGACACCGGTAATATTGTATCAAAACTGCTAAGCACCTGTTAATCTACATTATAAAACTACCGGAAGCATTACCTTGGTGTTCCTCTAAATCCATGTCAAGTTGTCTAATTTCTTCATTAAACTGATTCATCTTTTCTTTTATATCTGTTAACCTGTTGAAAATATTTTAATAAATTTATGAAGGAAATGTAGACATTCAATAAAACACTTAAGGAGCTTAGACATCGCTTCCAAGTTGCATAACAATATTCAAAAATAATATGTCCTATTCTGAGGACAACACTATAATTGATGATATTAGGATATCTTTTCCAAGTTGCATAAATATTGAAAAATAGCACATCTTATTATAAGGACAATTCTATGAATTTAGAGAGAAAGAATCTTATCTAGATCTTTTTTAATGATTCATATTTGGAGCCCAAGTATATTCTGAGAACACTAGGTTACCTGACTTCAACAGCAGACCCCTTCCCAACTTCAAGTTTGGCTTGTAGTATTAAGAAAATAAAAAATATTTAACAATATTCTTTTTGTAGGTGTCTATAAGCCAAATCAAGTTGGAAAATTAGTCTCAAAAATTAGAAAATAAGGGAAAATCTACCACTGGCAGAAAATTATATGGGTGAATTTTTTTTTTTTTTGAGACAGTGTCTTGCTCTATTGCCCAGGCTGGAGTGCAGTGGTGCCATCTCGGCTCACTGCAACTTCTGCCACCTGAGTTCAAGTGATTCTCCCACCTCAGCCTCCCAAGTAGCTGGGATTACAGGCACCTGCTACTGTGCCCAGCTAATTTTTGTATTTTTAGTAGAGACGAGGTTTCACCATCTTGGCCAGGCTGGTCTTGAACTCCTGAACTCATAATCCACCCACCTCAGCTTCCCAAAGTGCTGTGACTACAGGCATGAGCCACCACGAGCCACCACGTCTGGCCTATATGTTAAGTTAAATTTATAGTAAGTTTAACTGCTTTTAACATAAAGCGGTTAGTAAGTTTAACTGCTTTTGACTGCTTTTAACGTAAAGCAGTTAAACTTACTATAAAGCTACCATAACAAAAACAATGTGGTATAAGCATCGGATAGACATACATATCAATGGACTAAAACTGTGAGTCCAGAGTAAGACCATAGATCTCCAGTTAACTGATTTTTGACAAGGGTGCTAAGATAATTAAATGGGGAAAGAAAAGTATTTTCAACAATTGGTGCTGGGACAAGTGCATATGCAGAAGCTAAAGAATACTGGACTCCCACTTCACATCATATACAGAATTAACTTGAAATGGATCGAAGATCTAAATGTAAGAACTAAATTACCAAACTCTCAGAAGAAAACATAGACATAGCCTTCATGACCTTTGATTAGGCTTTAGTTTCTTAGTATATGTCACTAAAAGCACAAGCAACAAAAGAAAAACAGAAAAACTGGATATAATCAAATTGAAAACTTTTATGCTTCCAAGAACACCAAGGGAATGAAAAGATAACTCAGAACAAGGGGAAATGTTTACAAATCGTGTATCTGATGAGACCTCTAACCAGAATATATAAAAAAAAGTTACAACTCAGTAACAAAAAACAAATCTAGTTTAAAAAATGAGCAAAGGAACTAACTAAATATTTCCCCCAAAGAATATGGCCCATAAGCATATGTAAGAAAGCTCAACATCATTAGCCAACAAACAAATACAAATCAAAACCACAGTGAGACACTGCTTCATACCCATTAGGAATGGCTATAATAGAAAAAGATAATAACAAGTGAGGATGTGAAAAACCTGGAACCCTCATACCCTGCTGGTAGAAATGTAAAACGGTACAAATTCTTTTAAAATCTGATAGAATTCAACTGTGGATCCATCTGATCCTGGACTTTTCGTTAGCATTTCTTTTTTAGCCATTTCAGTCTCGCTGCTTGTTACGGGTCTGTTCGGAGTTTCTATTTCTTCCCACTTTAATCTAGGAGGATTGTATATTTCCAGGAATCTATTCAACTCCTCTAAGTTTTCTAGTTTGTATGTGTAAAGGTGTTCATGGTAGGCTTGAAGGGTCTTTTGTATTTCTGTGGTATTGGTTGTAGTATCTCCCATTTTGTTTCCAATTGAGCTTATTTGGATCTTTTCTCTTCTTTTCTTTATTAATCTTGCTAATGGTCTATCAATTTTGTTTACCTTTTCAAAAGAACCAGCTTTTTGTTTCATCTACCTTTCATATTTTTTTGGTTTCAATTTAATTTAGTTCTGCTCCGATGTTTGTTATCTCTTTTCTTTTGGGGAGATTGATTTGCTTTGTGCTTGTTTCTCTAGTTCCTTTAGGTGTGACCTTAAGATTGTCTATTTGTGTTCTTTCAGACTTTTTGACATAGGCACTTAATGCTCTGAATGTTCCTCTTAGCACTGCTTTTGCTGCCCAGAAGTTTTGATAGGTTGTGTCACTATTATTGTTCAGTTCAAAGAATATTTAAATTTCCATCTTTATTTCATTGTTGACCTAAAGATCATTCAAGGAGCAAATTATTTAATTCCCATGTATCTGCATGGCCTTGTTGGTTCCTTTTGCAGCTAATTTCCAATTCAATTCCACTGTAGTCTGAAAGAATATTTGATATAATTTTGATTTTCTTAAATTTAATGAAACTTATTTTGCGGCCTATCATATGGTCTGTCTTAGAGAATGTCCCATGTGCTGATGAACAGAATGTATACTCTGCAGTTGTTGGGTAGAATATTCTATAAATATCATTTGTTCTAGGGTGCAGTTTAAATACATTGTTTCTTTCTTGATTTTCTGTCTTGATGACCTGTCTACTGCTGTTAATGGAGTACTGAAGCCCCTCGCTATTACTGTATCGCCGTCTATCTGATTTGTTATGTCTAGTGCTAATTGTTTTATACATTTGGGAGCTCTAGTGTTAGGTGCATATAGATTTATATTGTGATATTTTCCTATATGATTAGTCCTTTTAACATTAAATAATGTCCCTCTTTGTCTTTTTCAACTGTTGTTGCTTTAAATTCTGTTTGTCTGATATAAAAAAAATAGTTATTCCTACTTGCTTTTGGTAACCATTTGCATGGAGTATCTTTTTCCACCCTTTTACCTTAAGTTTACATGAGACCTTATATGTTAGGTGAGTCTCTTCAAGACTGCAGATACTTGGTGAATTCTTATCCATTCTGCTATTCTCTTTTAAGTGGAGCATTTGGGACATTTATATTCAACAGTAGTAAAGAAATGTGTGGTTACCATTCTATTCATTGTGCTAATTATTGCCTGAATACCTTGGCTTTTTGTTTCCACTGTTTTTTTTTTTTAATTTTTTATTCCATTTTAGGTTTTGGGGTACATGTGCAGAACGTGCAAGACAGTTGCATAGGTACACACATGGCAGTGTGTTTTGCTTCCTTTCTCCCCTTCACCCACATTTGTCATTTTTCCCCAGGATATCCCTCCCCAGCTCCCCCCCCGCCGCTGCCCCTCCCCTTTTCCCCCCAATAGACCCCAGTGCTTAGTACTCCCCTCCCTGTGTCCATGTGTTCTCATTTTTCATCACCCTCCCATGAGTGAGAATATGCGGTATTTCATTTTCTGTTCTTGTGTCAGTTAGCTGAGAATGATGTTCTCCAGATTCATCCATGTCCCTACAAAAGACACGAACTCATTATTTCTGATTGCTGCATAATATTCCATGGTGTATATGTGCCACATTTTCCCAATCCAGTCTATCATCGATGGGCATTTGGGTTGGTTCCAGGTCTTTGCTATTGTAAACAGTGCTGCAATGAACATTCCTGTGCATGTGTCCTTATAGTAGAACGATTTATAGTCCTTTGGATATATACTCAGTAATGGGATTGCTAGGTCAAATGGAATTTCTATTTCTAAGGCCTTGAGGAATTGCCACACTGTCTTCCACAATGGTTGAACTAATTTACACTCCCACCAACAGTGTAAAAGTGTTCCTTTTTCTCCACATCCTCTCCAGCATCTGTTGTCTCCAGATTTTTTAATGATCGCCATTCTAACTGGCGTGACATGGTATCTCAATGTGGTTTTGATTTGCATCTCTCTAATGACCAGTGATGATGAGCATTTTTTCATAGGATTATTGCCCTCAGGTATGTCTTCTTTTGTAAAGTGTCTGTTCATATCCTTTGCCAATTTTTGAATGGGCCTGTTTGTTTTTTTCCTGTAAATCTGTTTGAGTTCTTTGTAAATTCTGGATATCAGCCCTTTGTCAGATGGGTAAACTGCAAAAATTTTTTCCCATTCTGTTGGTTGCCAATTCACTCTAGTGACTGTTTCTTTTGCCGTGCAGAAGCTGTGGAGTTTCATTAGGTCCCATTTGTCTATTTTGGCTTTTGTTGCCAATGCTTTTGGTGTTTTGGTCATGAAGTCCTTGCCTACTCCTATGTCCTGGATTTTGCCTAGATTTTCTTCTAGGGTTTTTATGGTGCCAGGTCTTATGTTTAAGTCTTTAATCCATCTGGAGTTAATTTTAGTGTAAGGTGTCAGGAAGGGGTCCAGTTTCTTCTTTCTGCACATGGCTAGCCAGTTTTCCCAACACCATTTATTAAACAGGGAATTCTTTCCCCATTGCTTCTTTTTGTCAGGTTTATCAAAGATTGTATGGTTGTAGATATGCTGTTTTGCCTCCGATGCCTCTCTTCTGTTCCATTGGTCTATATCTCTGTTTTGGTACCAGTACCATGCTGTTTTGATTACTGTAGCCTTGCAGTATAGTTCGAAATCCGGTAGTGTGATGCCCCCCGCTGTGTTCTTTTTGCTTAGAATTGACTTGGCTATGCAGGCTCTCTTTCGGTTCCATATGAAGTTCATGGTGGTTTTTTCCAGTTCTGTGAAGAATGTCAATGGTAGCTTGATGGGGATAGCATTGATTCTGTAAATTACTTTGGGCAGTATAGCCATTTTCACCATATTAATTCTTCTTAACCATGAACATGGAATGTTTCTCCATCTGTTTGTGTCCTCTCTTATTTTGTTGAGCAGTGGTTTGTAGTTTTCCTTGAAGAGGTCCCTTACGTTCCTTGTGAGTTGTATTCCTAGGTATTTTATTCTTTTTGTAGCAATTGTGAATGGCAGTTCGTTCTTGATTTCACTTTCTTTAAGTCTGTTATTGGTGTAGAGGA